GTCCAGAGGACCTATACAATTTTTTTCTTTTTGATTTTTTACCTGGCTTACTGAGATGCATCAGGACAACTCCAAAAATATTTGTGTCGTCATCAAAATTTACTAATTTTAATTGTTTCAATACCTTATACATATCATTTATATACAACAAAAATAATTTTGGGTCTAATACGTACCCCTTTGGGTTACCACAAACTATATCCAAACATCCAGAACAGTAATTGTCCAGTTTTACATACTGTTGACGTCCATTTAAATAACTCTTCACCCAATCTAATACTTGTCCCCTTATTCCATATTTTTCTAATTTATTGAATAATATGCTATGAATGATTGCGTCAAATGCTTTTGTGAAGTCAGTGAATACACCTAATGCATGCKTTTTTATTGAGGATTGTATCAATGATTCATTCAATCGATGCATCACTGCATGTAATGTTGTTCTGTTTACTCGAAAGCCATCTTGACTCTCGGCTAGTATCTTTTATTTATATATAAAGGTCTCCAATCGATTATTAAAAAGTTTTTCTAAAACTTTAGAAAAAATAAAAAGGTAAGAATTGTATTTTTTGCTGCTTGTAACCACATTTTGCATTACTTACTGAGGTAAAGATTTATAACATTGAATCAACTTTTCTACATTTTTTGACCCTGTTTATTGTTTGTTTGTTTGTTTGTTTGTTTGTTTGTTTGTTTGTTTGTTTTATTGACTCTTTTTCTCCAAATTGAGTTATCTACAGCAAATAAAACGTAATTTGTTGATGAGAAAATAAAGCTAATATATACAGTAACTCATACATGCAATTTAAATGTAATGACCACAGAAACAATTTTACAGATTCTTACATTTTAGCATTTGAAAACATACATACTAAATATGAAACACTGTGAATTCTTTGCAATAACAGCTCCATTATATCCTGTATTTAATTTTCTGAACTTTTTGGTTTCAACCAAAATGGTTTATTTGAGGAGCCTTTAGCAAAACACCAAATTTGAGCTCATTTTTCTTTATAACCTGCAGATTCAGTCGACAGATTCCCCTCTCTATTTCTCAATAAGAGAGTAACACCTTACTGCCCGTGACTCATTTACATGCTTTATTTGTATAACAACCACATCAAATATCCTCTTTGTGTCTTTTTGCAGAAGTGATGCCTGCAATTAAGCTGCTTCCAAAACCTAAAGAACCGCTCCTCCTTCCAAAACCAGGCGGCGACGGGTGCATTCGCTGCGCTGTGGTGGGAACCGGAGGCATCCTCAACGGCTCTAAAATGGGCAAAGAGATTGATGCGCATGATTATGTTTTCCGGTAAGATAAATGGAGAGTGAACCTGTTGGTTGGGTTTGCTGTGCAGTTTCATTTTGAAACAAACTGTCCACAAACTAAACGGATTTCAAAGGATCAGGTTTCTCAGGTTTGACAGTAACATGMCAGAGTGGACAGACTTTATTAGTTTCATTTAGACCCAACAGAAATAAATGGTTCCAGAGCATAATGGTTACAACAATTGTTTATTAAACCACAATTATTTGTTCTATTTTTATTTAAAAYACAAACCTTTTAACTCAGCTTTATATAGAATGGTTGAGGAAAAAAACTAATTTACTTCAAACATTTTTTTGCAACACCAGTAGCTAAATACCAAATATAACATCTTCCTTGTCAGAAACAAATTTGAAACCCTTTTGTTCTCTTCCCTATCTCACATGTCCTCTTATGTGGTTCAGAAAAGCATGTTGATATAACTTACTTGTTTTGTTTTTGCTAATCTCAACTGAAACAATAATCTGGCACGGTGCTACAACATAATCGGTCTGATTTTTGTTGCACTCATATTTGTTTGACACGTGTTATGTGAAACTTAATACATGGAAGTAAAATACAGATTTGTTTGTTTAGTAGGGTGTTATTTATCAAAAAAGCATTCCTTGAAGAACCACCTGCATGACAGAATTTTAAACTAAGAGTTAAGGAAATAGTTGAGGTTTTTTGCATGCTCTCAATATTGCTGCATTGTGAAAACTTGCGTGACATGTCAGAACTTAAACTTTGTGCTATGAATTACGCTCAGCTGCTACAGCAGCAAATTGTAGCTTAATATCTGTGAWATTCACTGAGGTGTAGACATCTCTTTGTGTGATGGAAGGTCAACCATCAGTGGACCTCTGAGACAAAACTGAGAAGTTTTGGAGACACCTGAGTCTAAACTAAGAAGGGTTCGAGACAAAACTGAGAAGGATTTGAGACACCTGAGACGTAACTGAGAAGGATTTGAGACACCTGAGACATAACTGAGAAGGATTTGAGACACCTGAGACAAAACTGAGAAGTGTTCCAGACAACTGAGACAAAAGTGAGAGGGGTTTGAGACACTTGAGATAAAATTGAGAAGAGTTCAAGACACCTGAGACAAAACCGACAAGGGTCTGGGTCTCCTGAGTTAAAACTGAGAAGGGTCTGAAACTCCTGGGWCAAAACTGAGAGGGGTTTGAGATGCTTATAGGGCAACACTGAGAAGGTTTCAAGACACCTGAGGCAAAACTGAGAAGTGTTCCAGACAACTGAGACAAAAGTGAAAGGGGTTTGAGACACTTGAGATAAAATTGAGAAGAGTTCAAGACACCTGAGACAAAACCGAGAAGGGTCTGGGTCTCCTGAGTTAAAACTGAGAAGGGTCTGAAACTCCTAGGACAAAACTGAGAGGGGTTTGAGATGCTTATAGGGCAAAACTGAGAAGGGTTCAAGTCACCTGAGGCAAAACTGAGAAGGGTCTGAGATTCCTGGGATAGAACTGAGAAGGTTTTGAAACACCTGARACAAAATTGAGAAGGGTTCAATACACCTGAGACAAACTGAGAAGGGTTTGAGACTCCTGAGATAATACTGTGAAAGGTTCAAGACACCTGAGATAAAACCAAGAAGGGTTTGAAACTCCTGAGATAAAACCAAGAAGGGTTAGCAGACTGAATATGAAGAGGTAGACTGTTCCATAGGTTTCATATCAACAGGATAACTTAAGGGTAAGCGCCTGTTGAGCTGCAGTCGTGCCAGCTGTCTCCTTTAAATGACGAGGGCTGAAATGAAAGTTATCTGTACAAGACAAACTAACTGCAATTTCAGCCTGTGATCAATGCCAGGCTCGCCATGATCTGACRTTTTCAGCTTGAGTTTGTTCTTGGCAAGGTTTTAAGAACACTGAGAAACTGATTGTGAGCATCTCGTCTCAAGAAGACGGTCATCCTTATTTTGTGATAGCATAAATAACTCGCTATCTTGAGGAAGCCATGGGAAAAACTATATGTGGAAAACGTCCACTCTCAGCTTCCATACATGACCCCTCTGTGCTGAGGTTAAAAAAACTGCTATGATTGTCAGTTATGGGGAGGTTCACATCAAAGACAAGAAAGCTTTAAATGTTAATGGATCTGCAAAACTAACAAAATGATGAAGTGAAAACAGAAAATCAACACTAGCAGGAGGGCCACTGGAAGACAAATGTCCAAACCTTTTGGTATTTGAAAAAGGAGTAATCGTCAGGCAGCGACAACAAGAAGATTTGGAAACATTCATTTGAAACAAAAGAAGCATTTTGCCTCTGCAAGCTGACAACAGATACAAAAAAATCCTCTATATTGGACTCTGAAGGCAAAAACATAAAAATGTGGTTTAGCAGGAAGTCATTAAGGAAACAGCATGTCATGAAAGACTTTACAGTCACTGAGAGAACTGCAATAAGGTTTTAATAAATCCACAGAATGTGGCAATGTTTGGAGAAAATGTTGACTCATTACAGGAACAAACAAAAAATAAATATTAAATGTTATTTTATTTTATTCTAAAGTACAGTATGTCCTCTAATCATTCAAGATCAAATCTGTTTAGAAAAGCTAAATTTTCAGACTACAGAAATGGGAGCTGAATTTAAAACTGTATTTAAAATTATACCGATTACAGCCAAGATGTTACACACAGAAGAAAACCATTTTTTTGTGTTGGCTAATACCGATCACCTGTGGCGACCACCTAGAGTAGATCAGTTGTAGGCGCTCATCTTCAGCTCTAGTCTATATTTGACCTTACCTGACTAATAACCCTAAATGTTCTTTTTTACACTGAAAACAACCACAGATTCTTGATCTGTTTTGTTTGACAGGATGAACGGCGCAGCRATCCAGGGTTACGAGGAAGACGTGGGGAACCGGACCTCGGTGTACATTCACACGGCCCACTCCATCACGGCGTCTCTTATATCTTTCAGGAAATATGGCTACAAAGCTGCCCCACACGATGATGTACTGAAGCCACACTTACAGTGATGTGTTCTTTTTGCCTTTCCTCAAAAATAATAATGTCTCAATTGTTTTTGCTTTTTACCAGGGTATAATATACGTCATGGTTCCTGAGGGAAAGAGGGACTTTGAGTGGCTCCAGGCCGTTTATAAAGGAGAAAGGGTTGTTTCTGGCGAATACAAAAATCGAAAGTATGTCAGTTTTGGTTTAAAGCACAATTAATTGTATTAAAACTTACTGAATACTGTTTAGAGTCATAGATGAAATTCCAAATGCTTAAGAGCATGCCTCTGTGTTTGTATAAAAAGCAAAATATCTGACTGTGCAGTGATTTAAGTTTCAGGTTTGGCACTTCTTCTTSTCTCTAGCGTAAACATAATTTTTCATCCTTTCACATCTCATAAAACATGCAGTTAGTGTCACCAACTGTAACCTACGGCAGATTCTTGTCAACATTACTCACAGGATACCAGTAGGAAACAAAAAAAAGTGCTGTAGTCATTGTAGTCAAACCAGTCCCTAATTGCACTTCAGGTAATTTAGTTCGCACTTAAAATAAGTGTAGACTAGAGCTCTRCTTGTACGCTGCACCCAAACTGCTTTACAGTAAATAGAGCAATTATTAGAAATTATGGTATTTATTTTTCCCAGAAGGATATCACATCTAATTGGCAAGTTTAATGATTAATATTAACTTTTATTCTTATCAGGCTAATTTTTGCTCATTCTGCATATTGATGCATTTAAAATAGTAATACTGGAAATATAATTATTACTACTATAATGCATTCTGCTGGACGTGATTAGCTTTATTTCAGTTCCAAATTTGATCTCATCTGAACTCGTAAAATGTGCCAGATGTGAAAACTGACCGGTATGATTTAAAATGTTACCTCAAATGTTGTTGATTGAATTAATGGTGCACTCATTAGTTTTCAATGACTGCAAAATGACTATTGTCAACTTCCTGTTATTTTTCTCTTATCAGAAGCGGATTGATATGGTGCAATCCACCACATATTCACTGCACAGCAARGCTCACTGTTTTGATGATATATCAGCTAACATGGAATAACCCATCTATAAATTATATAAATTTTATAAATTATAATTCATGTGCAAACACAGTCACACAGTTTTGATTTCTGTTTTTAAGTGCTTTATATTTTTGAAGTTTAGGGGGACATTTAAAATCTAAACCTTATAAAATACTTTGCTTTCTGTTTGACGGCTTGTACAAATATTGGTAGTTGGCTCACACACCCTCCCCTACAGCTGTAGCTGGTTTTCAAAAGCTGCTAAGGCACAATAGGCATGACCATAACCCTCTGAAACGACATCAAATAGCCTAATCCTCCGTGCACTAACATGTCAGTTTTGTCACGCAAGAGCAATTTGCGGACCTCAGAAGTTAAACTCAGCGCTGTTCGTGTTTTAATTTGAGTTTTAATGCAGAGCCCTGGCATAAAATGCTTACAAAACATGTTTATCGCTGTTTTTTTTTTTTTTTTTTTTTTTTGGACGACTTGTCGGTGACTTTTTATTTGCATTTGTGCAAAAAACTAATATGCTCAGAAATGAATAACAAATACCTGTGTGACAACACTTAAAGAACTAATTAGTGKGTTGGTGGTTACCTTTCAAGTTTCGGGAACAATGAACGTTATTGTTCTTTTCGCTTTTAAACACTACTGGGTTTTCGTTGTTCATGCGTGTTTGCCTGTGTGTGTGTTGTCACCTTTTAGTGCCAGAACTTACTACTCAGGACAGTTCAACGAGAGCCGCTTCTATGTCCTGCATCAAGACTTCCTGCGTTACGTACGGAACAGGTGAGCCTTGGATCACAATCCTGACCAAAACCTTTCCCACTGAAAGTCTTTACTACAATAACCGACTACTTAAAGGCTGGTTTCCAATAAATGCATGTGTTGAGATGAAAATTGTATAGGTCTTCTGGACGGGTTCTTCTCTAATGAAACGTTTCGTCTCTCCTCCAAGAGACTTCTTCAGTCTGAAAGTTTCAGGCAAAATTTAGGCTTTTAAGCACTGCCTCCATGTGACTGATACTCACATAACATGGCTATCGTTGACACCTAATTAACACTTATTGTTTGTGAGAGGAGTAAAAGAAGCCATTTTTGTGAAGAAAGACCGTCCATCATTAAACAGAGGTGGAGGCCTCCGTTTCCAGTTGTCCCCCTCCTACAGCGCGGCTATTGCCAGTATCACTCCACCCCCTGTTAACAATAAGTGTTAATTAGGTGTCAACGATAGCCATGTGATGTATCAGTCACATGGAGGCAGGGCTTAAAAGCCTGAATTTTGCCTGAAACTCTCAGAMTGAAGAAGTCTCTTGGAGRAGAGACGAAACGTTTCATTAGAGAAGAACCCGTCCAGAAGACCTACACAATTTTTTTCTTTTTGATTTTTTACCTGGATTACTGAGATGCATCAGGACATGTGTTGAGATGGTTAGTTTACACTTTAGTAAAAACTTGTCATAGCTCAAATTTTTAAAAATGGAACAAGTTAASTGTTTAAAATGTGACGTTTTATAAAATACACGGCCTCCATCAAGTGTTGAAACTACAAAATCGTACCAGTTTTAGGGCAAGATAAATGTATTTTTAATTATATGGCAACAACACATTTCAAAAAAAGTTGCAACAGGAGCAACAAAAGGATGTAAATTTCAGATACAAACTGGGTACAAAAAGAACATTTTAGATAGGCTGGAGCACGAAGAAGTATAAATGGGCTGGGCTTCACCAGGCTGAAAAATAAGGCCTTAGAAATAAAACAAGTGATCAAATATTTGTTCCTTTTAACAAATCAAGCTTAAAAACATTTATTAAAAATAAGACATTTTCAATTTTTTTTTGCAAAAGTAAAGCCAAACTTCCTTAAAAACAACAATGCAGGAAAATATAGAAGCTAAAAAAAAGACCAGTATCATTTTATGCTATTTTTGTCAGAGCTGCCAAAAGCTTTCAAGTCTAAAAGGAAATAAAGATTTGCTTGTCTTGTGGGTAGATCAGTTTAAATTCATAAAATATTTAAAAATATCAGAAGTGGGATTTTACCAACAGTTTGGGGTTTTGTCTTGAGGTTTTATCGTTCAGATATAACTAACCAGCCAAACTGTGACTYCAGCTTTAGCATATTTTTTAAGTATCAAGCAATGACTACATAGATATTAGTGTAGGACAAACTGCATTGTCACTTTTTCAAGTTTTTAATTTGTCTTATTTGACATGTTTAGGTTTTTAAAATCAAGTAACCTGAACAAAGCATATTGGGCAATCGTCCGACCGACCAACGGAGCGTTTGCTCTCTTTTTATCGCTGCATGTTTGTGACACAGTAAGTTTSTTTGTATCTTTTTTATTATTAATTAATGATGATCGATCACGTGGCTTAAGTTCAATGGGTTGAGCTAAAACAAAAACCTAAAGATTAACTACTCTTTGACACCTTTCTTTTTTTTTTCCACTTAAGAAATGAATCCCTTCTCTCTGCTCTCTGTTCCTGTGGTCCTCAGGTGAGTGCGTACGGCTTCATGACAGAAGACTACAATGAATACTCCAAYTACTATTTCGAAAGGTACACCAAAACCCATGTGATTTTTTACGGCAACCACGACTACATTCTGGAGAAGAATCTCTGGAAGAAACTCCACGACAAAAAAATACTGAAGCTCTTTCAAAGAACTAAATCACAAACAGCGACAGAAAATCCGAAGAAACCGTGACGAACGGAGAGCATCAACAACACCATCAAGAGTCCAGACCAAATGTTCATCTTTAAAGAAAAGTTGTCTGAGACAAGAAAAGAAAACTTGATCATTCAGAATGTTTTTCATAAAAGTACTTCAACAGGTTGTATTAAACTGTGAAAATATATTTGACAAAGTGAAGCGGCGGCACGGTGACTCGGTGAGCAAAAATGTCACAGGATCGAATCCCTGCCCAGGGACCTTTCTGGGTAGAGTTGGCATGTTCTTTCCATCCAGGTTAATTGGTAGCTCTAAACTGTCCCTAGGTGTGAGAGAGTGTGACCCTGTGATGGACTGGAGACCTGTCCGGGGTGTACCCCACTCCTCACACAGTGACTGCTGGATATGGGCTCCAGTGACCCTGAATGGAAGGAACAGGTATGATGGATGAAGTCAAGTCAAGCACACTTAAGAAATAAACCCAACAATCTGCAGAAGCTGCACAAAYTACTTACCTGGCACATATTCAGGTATTTACCTGATACTTACTGGTTACATACCAGGTACGAATCAAGTACATATATGTTACTTAGTTTGTACATGAAACGTAGCTGCTACTCACCAAGAACAAACTGGATACTCACCTTGTTTACGGCTAGTACTTGGAACTCATAAGAACATGTATCTGGTACTTACCTGTAAAAGTCTCTAAGTACATTGTAACTAAGTTTTTTCGTTATACAAGTACTTTACCAAGTACATAAGTGCCCTGAAAATACCAGACACATGTCCTGTAAGTACAAGCTTACTTCATATTACACTCCGTCCTTATGTACACACACCAAGTGTACACACCCGGTATATATTAAATTACGTGATGTGTTTTAATTTAAATTATCTACTAATCATTTCATA